AATTTGCAAATAACAATTTAGATGTTCAAAAGGCAGTGGCAGGTTCAGAGATTTTTGTTTTGTTGTAATTGCATATATTGGTTATTAATATGGCCCTTCAAAACAGGACCATTCCAGAATAGGGTAAAAGATAAGTCTCAAAAATGACAAGGTTTGAAAGCAAACATTGTGGAAAATGAGACCAGCGAGTTATCAAATGATGATTCTTTACATTAGATTTTGTGTGTGTTTTTAATACTAAAGTTAAAACAGAATAAATACACTTACATTTTCACGACGACTGAAGTGCCTTGTGCAGGTCTAGATTAAGGCACTGACATTACAAACCTTTGCATTAGGCTCCATTCCTGGATTTCCATGAGGAGATCAGAACTACTGCTTTGTTTCTTAACCCTAGACTACGTCTTCACTAGAAGTGTCACTGCTGCACTGCTGTAAGTGCTTCAGTGTAGACACTCCAGTAATAAGAGAGGTTCTTCCAGCCAGACAGAAGAACTCCTCTGTTGCCTACTGCTGTTTACATCAGGAGTTAGGTTGGCTTAAACACATCACACAGGCTATGTCTATAATGCAAGGACTTTGTGTAAAAACCTGTGGAGCGTCCACACTTCAAATGTGCTTTTGCGCAAGGAAATTAAGAGTAAAACGTCAGAACAGAGGGCTTTTTCCGGCATAGGTAAACCTCCTTTTACGAGGCATAACTCCCTTTTGCGCAAGAGTTCTTGTGCAAAAAGGCAAGTGTAGACGCTCCAGAGGTGTTTCTTGTGCAAGACACCCCTCTGGGAAAAAGCACAGGTGCTCTAATGGCCATTCTGTGAATGGCAATCAGAGCTTTTTTGTGCAAGAGCGTCCATGCAGCATGGACGCTCTCTTGTGCAAAAGCACATTGCCTTTTGCGATGTGCTTTGAAGTGTGGACGTGCTCTTGTGCAAGAAGTTTTTGCCCCCAAACTCTTGCACAAATGCACAAAAAGTTTCTTGTGCAAGAAGCATGTAGTGTAGACATAACCTCAGAAGCATAACCTCATATACCCCTAACTGACATAGCTGGGTCTAGCTTACTTTTTAGCATAACCCTGGCCATACAGATGCAGAGAACTACTCAGACTCAAGCGAGCATGACCCTTTTAACAAATAGCTGTGAATTGCCCCGGGCATCTGAACTCTGATTGCTGCCACCCCAAAGGGAGCCTGAGCGAGAGTGCAGGGATGAGACCATGAAAGGTCCTGTAAAGGGTCTCAGGTTGTTTTAATTTAGCCCAGGAGCAGTAGGTGAGAACTGCATTTGACTGTGCTTTCAACTATGATCATTTGAAACCATGAGTCTGCATTTTAATCTCTTCACACAGGTATAAATCCGCAGCTATGTCTCTGAGCACAATTCATCACTCCCACCCACTCCCGCCAGATCAACGCCTGGTACGATGGATAGAACATGTCCTCCGAGTAAGGGGAGGAGCCCACCTTCAGCCTTATGCATTTCAGCAGTCTTGGTATCAGCAATACTTACTGGATGTTGTGTTGTTCCTGTCAGGGTCTCTCCTCGGGGTTATCTATCTTTGTATTAAGCTCCTAAAATCTGTTGCCTTTAGGATCCGCAGCTCAGAAAAACAAAAACAAACATAATTTTAAACATTACCTATTTGGTTAATATCATCATTTTAAAAAAAATTATAAGCAGCTGGTAGTAGCCACTAGATTTATTTGCTTCAAGGAAACAGTAAGGGAAATTATACATTTCCTGGATAATCCAAGCCTTCTGTATGACCTAATTCTACTGAAATGTAATAAACATTGGATGAGAAAACAAAATTAGCTCCATGTTTGTTTGGTTTTAAATTCACTCCTAGAACCATAACCCTTCCTATCCCAAGTAACTTCTGAGACGTTACAAAGGAGAGGATATACAGTTGAACAGAGATCAGCTTCTGAACCTGCAATTTAAAAATGAGCAAAAAAATGCTTTCAAAACAAATACAGAGAAGCGTTCTAAAGTCTCAGGATATGTCTAGACTGCAAGCCTCTTTCAAAAGAGGCTTTTTCGAACGAATCTTTCAAAAAAGACTCTTTCGAAATAGAGTGTCTAGACTATAAGCAGATTTTTTGAAAAAGTGAACCACTTTTTCGAGAGTCTAGACGCTCTCTTTCGAAAAAGCACAGTTTGCATTCAATAGTGCCTTTTTTTGAAAGAGTACTGTCAAAAAAAGGCGTTCTTCTTTGAAAATGAGGTTTACTGTGATCAAAAAAACTGCCGCGTTCTTTCAATTTACTTTCGAAAGAACGCAGCTGCAGTCTAGACGCAGGTGAAGTTTTTTCGAAAAAAGGCTACTTTTTTCGAAAAAACACTGTAGTCCAGATACATCCTCTGTGATTAACAGACAAGAAGGCAGGCTCAGAAGTGACACGTAGAGGTTATGTCTAGACTGCCTTTTTTCGAAAAAAGGTATTCAAATTGCACTCTGCAATTTGTGTACCTTTTTCCAATGTTTTTTTTAAAGAGGCTTTTCTGAAATTTGGCCTATCTACACAGGGCCAAATTTCAGAAAAACCTCCTCTCTTGGAAGAGCCCCTATTCCTCATAAAACGAGGAATACAGGGTTTCCAAAAGAGCGCATCTGCTCTTCTGAAAAAAAATTTGGAAGAGCAAACACATTCCCTGGACACAGTGCAGACTTTCCAGGATGTGCTCCCCAACCCAATAGGATGACCTTTGTCACAAGTACCTCAGTAGTGAGAGGGCAGATAGGAAAGGCCCAGTGTATGTTGTAGAAGACATTGCAGCTGTTAAAAGGCATGTAGTGGCCATGAATACTTAAAAGTAGCCAATGAAGCCTCAAAAATCCTTCCTAAAATTGAGAAGAAATTCTCTTTGGATGGGATCATCATATCCTTTAGTAATACCACCACCACAGCATTGATGTTCAATATTTCTAAGATTGTGTTCTTTGCCTCTTGCATTTTATAGTATCTAAATGTGTGTCTGCTTATACCAGGGTGAGGAACCTCAGGCCCAGGGGCTAGATGCGGCCTCCAGTTCACTTGGATCTGCCCCACGAGTATCAGGGCCCCCCTACTTCCCCACTGCAGAGCTAGACCATACACAATCTATTAGGTTGGGCTCCCCCTGGTGTGAGGGGAATGTGCGGAGTGTCTTTCTCCTTCTCAGTCAGGGGCCACATCAGTGAGGTTTTGGGGATTTTTGTTTTGTTTTTCAGTTATATGCCACCCCCAAATGATTTTTTTTTGGTAGGTCAGCAGCTCCTGATCCAAAAAAGGTTTTCCACTCTAGGCTTATACACTTTCCCTTAGCAGGGTATTCCCATTTATGCCCAATTACATCTCTAAGGGAAGAGTATAGCAGAACTGCCATTTCAAGCTAGAATTTGACTGGTGGGTATTTGCTGCAAGGCTTCTTATCTAGTATCTCACCTGACTGATTATATATGCTAGATACCACTGTCCTAATCACAGTATCAAATCTGTTGGGAAAGAGGGAGGAACCCTTTGTTTTTAAGTCCTTGCCCAGCTGTCTTAATCAGGAAATTCTCCTCCCTTGAGAAGGCAAAGTACATACAAAAGATTCCCTAGATCTTTTGGCTCTAATTGCCTGTTTTACAGGAATCCCTGCAATGCTACAGGCAGGGTATAGTCTCCCACAACCCACTTTATTGATAGACTTGAGCCCTCTAGATGTGTTCCTCTGTGAACTCACTCTGTAGGCCTCATTTCCACTGTCTGAGAGACAAGGTCTTAGAAAATAATTCTGCCAAGCATCTTAGGAAGAGGAGCTGTACAGGAGTCCTACTTCTTTCCCCAGAGAGCTGAGGACCTCCATCAATTCTGCAATGGACTTTAGATACCATAAGGGTTTCCATGCAGCTCAGATCTTTTGTTGGATTTACTCCCTTAACAGGGATGATAGCATCCTCATTCTTATCTCTTCCTGAAAGTCTGAGAAACTCCTGATTGGACTTTTCTGCACTGGAGTCATGGCTCATTAGGGGCAGGTAGGATATCCAATACGCCAGTCTGCTTGAGCCCCATACATGTGCAATACAAGTGTGATAGGAAGGACATAATTTGACTCCTATAAAACCTGTAAACATGGTTTCACATACGGAGATGCTGCCTAGACTTAGTCGGGTTCCTGCCTGTAGGCTCTGCCATTGCTTGCGGAGTCCAAGAGAGGAGATTGCCACAGTAGTGGATCTAGGTGGCCAAAACCATCATGCTGCCAATTACCTGATCTAGGGAAGAGGAGAAGGAAGAGGAAAAAAGCATTATGAAGTTGCATGCCGTTCCTCTAATCATGAATTAAAAAAATAAAGTTGACAAAGGAAATGGTCGGGAGCAAAGAAAGCAGCCACTTATATGTTGCCATGGAGGTAGACATCTGGTAGAAAACCAGAAAAGGAAGCAGGGTAAGCTGAAACTACATTCCAATGCCTGTGGAACTAGAGAGGAAGGAAGTAATCTATTATGCATCAGAATTGTGGGAGATGCTGGGCTGCAGAAAAGCAAAGGTTCAGATTACAATCCTTAATAGTGTACTAATGGATGGACTACAAGGGAGCATCATACCTCAGCAGCTTAAAGATCTTAGTGTACAACAGTGTTTTTCAAATGGTCTGCGGACCCGCTCTGAGAAATCTGCTAACTGGCTACTCCCATTTGTTTATTCACCGGCTATGCAGCCACAAAGCCTTGTGGCTCTCCTTAGCTGTGGTTTGTTGTTTGCAGCCAAGGGGAGCCGCAAGGCTCTGTGGCTGTGGGAAGCCGGTAAATAAACAAATAGGAGCAACCAGTTAGTAGCTTTTTCAGAGCGGGTCTACGGACCACTTCGAAAAACACTGGTGTACAAAATAAAGATTCCGAATGAACATAGGAATAAGCTGTGTTACTTTCCATGTTTAACCAGTTATACTTTCAATTAAATCAATTCACAGTTAATAAAGTAAAATTATCTGAAAAAATCAATAAGAAAAGCTGTTCTAAAGGAAGTCTGAATATATAAAGCACATACAAGTAGTATTGTAGAAATGCATTTTATTTCATGCAAACAACTTTATTTCACTAGATAGCCATACAATTTAAAAATATATCCAGAATATCAATAATTTAAAACACTACACAGAAAATAACTGCAATTTAGTGAGGGTCAAAACAACACAGCTTGAAATTATGCACACTTATACTTGCATCTTAAGGCAAAAAAACCATATACACCTACAGTCTAATCTTGATACATATTTGAGAATAGAATGAGGTCTGCAATTACTAAAGTGTATGAACAGAAATAAGTTAATTCCTTGCCCTTACACTTATGTCTATAGCAGCGGTTCTTAAACTTCTTTGCATTCTGATCTCCTTCTGACAAAAGATGTTACTATATGACCCCAGGACGGGGGCAGGAGTGGCCAAACCCTGAGCCCTACTGCTCTGGGGATGATGCCAAAACTGAAGCCCAAGGGGTTTAGCCCTGCTCAGGGGCCCTATAACTTGAGCATCACCTCGCAGGGCTGAACTCCTTGGGCTTCAACTTTGGCCTCAGGCTATGGAGCCTGGGCTTGAGCTTTGCCTCAGACGCCCAGCAAGTCTAATGCCAGACTTAAAAACAGCCATTAAAGCAGGTTGACAACCCACTTTGGGGTCCTGACCCACATTTTGAAAACCATTGTTCTATAGAAATGCAAGTATTCAAGTAAGAATTCTGAGAGAGAAAAATTCTGAGATACTATCCTCCAGATACTATATTTCATATGAGCATGTCACCTGGTAAGACATAGCCATGAAGTAATAACCAAAAGTTGAAAATTGGCATTGTTTATGTGTTACATCTAAATAAATAGACACATTAATATGGTGAGGAGCACACCCTAATTAAATTTAAAGATTACAAGGAATAAATTTGCTAATCTTGCTTTATATCTGAAACAAAAGTTACTAGATGTAATACAGCATAATTCACATCAATAGTTCATCAATCTAGTAGAGTGAGGGTCTGGTTTAAGGTGTACATTTTTGTTGGTAATGGTTGGTCCATATAAAGGGAATGAAGAAATGTAGATGTGTCTCAACTTCAGATGACACTAATGTAATTAGAGGAACAAGTAGTACTGGAATAGTATTGCTGTGAGACAGCAGATACCCCTTCACAGAACATTAGAGAAAGGAGATATAAAAATCTCAATCAAAAATTTACAACCTACTATTTACAAAAAGATATGATGTGAAAATTACAATGACATTCTTGCATTTTAGAGAAATCAAATGCTAAAACAAAATATACAGAGCATCAAAACTAGTGCTTTTTGTTGATATATTCTTTTGATTATACTGAATTACTGAATCAATGTGAACTTTTCATAAGCTTTGTAAAAATCAATATTTCATAAAATGATATCTAATATTTTAAATGCACATTAGGTCTCACGTAATTAACTGTTACAGTGAAAGAACAGCAAGCCTTTCCTTGTTCTCACGGAACCACTTCAGTATTCCAGGTTTAATTTAATAAAAGTACAAGTTGTCATAATTACATTGAATTGGGATAAAAACAATTATATCTTCAAGTGTACAAATAATTACTAGGATTATGTTTTGCAAAAGCACATAAATAGTGAAAAAGATAGCAGCTTTCCTCCAGTCTTCTTACAACTGTAATCATAGCTAGTTAAATATACAAGTGTACTACTATGTTCTTAAACAGAAATGCAGGAGACTTTAAGCATTCTTCAGTAGTGTGAATTACAGCAGCATAGAGTTTGCTCCAAAGGACTTTTTCATTAGCACTTTAAAATCATATCTTAGAAATAACATATTATCTCTCTCTCTCCAACTTTAGATATTGGTATTAATACAGTAAAAATGAAGATCTGTAGTACCTCTCCAAATTGTTAATTGATTCCCTATATTTGAATGCCACAAGTCAGATCCAAAATAAGTGCACAGAACTCACTTCCAAATGTAGCTATTTCTACACACACATTTTTAAATGCCTAATAATACAAAGTTGCAAGTCTAGCAAAGACATTACATGCAACTAAGTGTAACAGTTTCTCTATACATTCTGATTCTTCAAATATTTAAAATTTGCATGGAGTATTTAGTATATCAGGCTATGTATAGACTGCAGGGCTTCTTTCAGAAGAAGCTTTTCTGGAAGAGATCTTCCGGAAAAACTTCTTCCAAAATAGAGCGTCCACACTGCAAAAGCGCATCGAAAAAGTGATCTGCTTTTTCGAAAGATAGCATCCGCACTGAATGGACGCTCTCACATTTTAGCTATAACTACTATGGACGGAGTGGCCACCAAGGCACCTGTGCTTTTTCCTCTTCTTTCAAAAGAACTCCCTCTTCCTCGTCCACATACGCCTTTTTCCAAAAGAGCTCTTTTGGAAAAAGACTTCTTCCTCGTAGAATGAGGATTACTGATGTCAGAAAAAAACCCTCTGTTCTTTTGATTTTCTGTCGGAAGAACGCGATTGCATTGTAGACGTAATTGAAGATTTTTCAGAAAAACAGACGTTTTCCAATCAAACTCTGTAGTGTAGACATACCCTCACTGACATGACAGCATTCAAACAATTTGTATTTAACTTGCTAATTTTTGGCATATTTCAAAATTATAAACCACATAGTCTGACAAACATGATGCAAGATGAGAAGTGTATATTACCTGTAATTTAATATAGTGAAATTTTAGTTTATAAGAAAATACAATTTACATACTCTTTAGTTGTATTTCATTATGATTATTTAGTGGCAGCATAAATACATAATATTTTCAGTCATACAAATCAAAGTATAGTTTACAATGCAGTTACTTTTGGACTTTCTAATTTTGAGTATTAGCAATGCAGGCACACAATATGTACACATTTGTGATATTTACCAAGTAAAATAATATTACTTGGTAATTAAATAGTAATGTTCTTACATAATCATGTCCTCTCATAGAATGGTAACACTGATAAATCTTCCAGGATTATATTCACAGGAAATCATAAGGTATTCTTTTTCAAAGAGAGTATAAATTAGTACAAAAGATGTATTAAAAATCCAACAGTTGTTTTTAAGAGGCAATGCAATTTTGCCATTGTCTTCAGTGGGTTCAGGATCTCACCCCAATCATCTAGCTAACAGTCAAAATCCAAGGAACTCTGAAAGCAACACTAATACAAAACCATCCCAAGAGTAAAGAAACTACTTCTGGACTTTATGGACAATCCATAGATAATCAATTCATTGCATCATCTCCTGGAGTAGCCCAGAATACCTAAGGAAGTCTCACCACAGTTAGGGGGTTAACATTCCATGTTGGAGTTATGTTTTAGTCACTGGACCCCCATTAACATTAGGGTCACCTGGCCAAATCCTTATGCTTCACTTTGAAAATTATCAGTGGGAATCCACACATGGTGTCTAGTTACTTTTCTTATTAAACATACAGGTTTGACCGTATCTCACTGAAGTAAAAGAAAACTTCCATTGACTTCAATGATAGCAAGAGCAGCACTGATTAGGGCTAGGTTCTACTTGCCCGATGACAACTGGATCAGGCTCTTCATGAGCCTCCAACAGTTTTTTTATTCTTTTTCCCTCTCCTGAACAGCAGTTGAACTAAGTTAGAATAGATCCCTTTCAATTTTACTTGTAATGCCTTAATGAAGAGCTTGTGCTACGGGGTAGGTTAGGGATGGCTTCTTTATGAAATTTTAAAATAAGCTTTCAGGTCTTTAGAAATGCCAAATCTAGTCTCACATGGTTTTGCTGGAAGAACTAAAGGGGGAGGAGAATATGCCTAAGAGACTATGTATTTTCATATTTTGATTGAACAGGAGGGCTAGAGAGAATTTAATAGAGACCCTTTATCCAGAATGTTTGTTAGTGGCCTTATATATGTGTTAACATAAAGACCTCTAACTGTTCAACTTTCAGTATCTGGTACTGTCATTAGTTCTCCAATGACCAGTTTTCCAGGGCACACAAGGCCTGTATTTCTAAAGCAAAACTCACACATGTAAGCAGAAACACTCCAAACTCCAGAACACATTTGAAAAAAAAAAAATTCTCCCCAGCCACTTTTAAGATATAATTTATGTGCTAGGATATAAATGAGATTCCACTGATTTCAGCAGAAACAGTACAAGTATCTAAATAAAGTATTCAGAGTTAATCTACTATTCTATGTCCATTTATTTATGTAATGGGTCTGTTAGAAGTGGACGAGAATTTCACTAGCCTTCAAACTAGTTATTCAAATAATTGTAAATAAGCAGATAATACACTACAAGTAGCATTGTTTTCCAAACTTCTGAATTACAATTCAATAAAGTAAGTCAGAATCACTTAACACAGATTTAAGGAAACAGACTATTTCTAAAGGGAATACCTCATCCCTGAAAAGTTTTCAGTGTAACCCCATTTCTAAATGATTTAAGAGTTGCCCATCTTTCAAGTATGAAATCTAATACATCACCTTTCTCCATCACTTTGCAATGAGAAAAACTCCTAAGTGATTAAACATGTCAACTTAAAAGTTAACTTTGGCTGAAAATTGCCAACAAAGCAAAAATTTTAAGTTGGCATATTTCCCCCAAAAATCATTCGCATGGCATCATTTTTTCACAGTTATTCACTAGCATTTTGATGGTGTTTATTTGCCTGAATAAGCATTTCTTCTTTATACAATGAATAGCCTACTTATTGCAAAATACAGGCACCTTAAAAACACAGATACCTTATGCAAGGCAATGCAGTTGGGATGTTAAAAGCATTTACCATTAATGAATCATGCTACATAGTTCCCTTCTTCAAATAGAAAGCTAGCGGAGTTATAAAGTGCTAGAAGTTTGTGAAAAATTGTAACATTTAAAGCTGATATATTTCACATTATAATTTATCTTACACCAAGATTTTTAACTGCTACTACTGTAAAATGTGTTCTTAAACAGTTACCACACCTTAGAGGATGCATTCCTGTTATTCCACACATGCCTGAATGACAGTGAGAGCAAAAATATTGATGTTTATATTTGATCTTAATTACACATGCAACCTTTTATCTGCATATACTGTAATATTGAAACAAAAATTCCAAATTCTATGACTGATGTGTAAGTCTTCCATATTTTACGCTGTCATGTTTATGCAGAATTGCCATTTGACCCCTTCTACTCAAAAAGGGCCTGATCCAAAGGTCACCGAAGCCAATAGAAGACTTTACGTCAGGAGGCTTTGGTTCAGGCTCAAAATTCAAATAGCAAGATGTTTAATATTAGTACGTAATACAATAATTCATTTTAACTACAGTTAGGATGACTAAATTGTATTATACTTCTTAAAGCATCATTTAAAAGATTATTCCTTCTAACCCCACCCCAAACAAACAAACAAACAAACAAACAAACAAACAAACAAACAAACAAACAAACAAACAAACTCACAACAACCACCACCAAAATAAAAACAAAAAAATCCACTCCAAAAGTTCAAGTTAGTTGAATTTGAGTCCTGTTTGCACATATAACATTTAGTCTATGTTAACCTTTAACTAACTAAACTAGGATTTTCTTACTCATTTTATTGTCCCCTCAGTAACAAAAGAAAAAAGCCACCTCCCACACTGCGTAACAATACCTGTTAATACAAATAAACTCTAGCCCATCATAATTATGTTATTATACAATGTGCATTTCTAACTGACTATCATTGTACCTTTATTTTCCACAATTTTTAAAAAAATAAAAAGGTCTTTTTTGGTTCAGAAATATTACAAATAGAGTATTTTCCAAATAATGAGCAGTAGACTTTGATTTTTATTAAGTTTTCATAAGTTTTGACGAGATCAGACATCATCAAATATTCTGCTTCGTGACATTGATAAATACCTTCCAGCAGGCTGATATCTGCAGGACATACATAAAGAAATCGTATAAAAATCACAAAACAAGAGGAAAGAAAGAAAACATCAGTAAAGTACAGAAGCAAACTCACATCTAGCATGTACTAAAAACAAATCTATTCTGTCCATTTTGCCACAGGAAATATCTAATCTGAAGAGTAACTTATATTTACAGTGATTTTCATCCTGAATGATCCAAGTGTGCTTTATTCACTTATATACAATAAGATAAATACATTAAAAATCTGTACAATAAAATTAGATTAAAATTGAGATTCTAATAATTTAACAAATACTTGCATACAAGAATTTTACACATAGTGGGTTAGCAATCTAAAATTAAATCTTTTACATATCATGTGACCAAGAGAATATTTAAACATATGAGGTCTTGTTTCTAAACTACCTTTCTCATTAGACATGAAGAAACCAAAGACTACTATATTTCTGATAAATTGTAAGGGGGAAAAAAACTTGTATTGGTACCTGAAAGTCTTTAGGTTGGATGAGCAACAAGAAAGTCTATATGATATCCAGTGAAATAGTACCACCCAACACCATGAAAAGATGCAAAGCAGCTTTTGAGGGGGAAAACATGTTTCCCCAATTTGGTAGCTAAATACACAAAGACTTCAAAAAATATTCAAAAGAGCATCACAACTGTGGTTTTTTTCCTCTGAAATAATTAATGAAATCCTGAATAGACTCAAAGCAGGAACCTGCCCTTCTAGTTCTGTTCTACATGTTTTAAGACGATTTAACTGTTGCTATGGAAAAGAGACATTTGCTTCTATCCTGATGTCGGTTTTAATCAATGTGCTTCAATGGAATTACTCCTGATTTACACTGTTGTGAGAGGAAATTTGTACTGCTTCGACAGAATTGGTTAAGTTTTAAAACGAGTGTGTTAGAGTATAGTTCAACACTTATTTCTCAATAAGCTATTCTGGAAGAAATACTCTGAGGTTGCTTATTTCAAAGTAGCACGTCTACACTACAGGGAAGCCTCAAAATTAGGCCGAGGCAGGCTTCCCCAATGTGGATGTGCTACCTCGATTTAGAACCCTAGGATGCACTGGGAAGTAATTACTTTGAATGGCCCTGGGGAGGAGCTATTTTGAAAGGGAGGAAGGACGATCCAGGGAACTACAGACCAGTCAGTCTTATGTCAGTCCCTGGAAAGGTGAAGGTGTTATTGCCTTTGCTTTGAAAAGTGCTTAAAAGGACAGGGAGGTATTGAGAGGGGCTAGGCTCACTGCTTTGAATTGCTGCTAGGTTCCTGCCTCTCATCCAGAAGAGGAGTCAATAGAAAATTGCCCATGTTCTGTGTCTGCACACAGAACAATCCAGCAACGGCCAATGGGTTGGGGCTTCCTTTCCACAGCAAATCAGAAGAGATTACATGGGGGGGAGGAGAGGGAAGAATCCTCCACAGTCCCTCCCCCA